AATATCTGTTCCTATAATAATGCATCCAGCACCTTGCCTTGACCTTTTTCTTTACATGACATGTAAATTAGAGAAAATTGTTTCTTTCTGTTACATTATATGTAATCAGGGGCAGCCTGAGACTCTGGGGTTCACCATCAAAAGTTAAGTCTTAAGACCCACCTGGACATCTTGTCAAATTTTTCAAAAAGATACAACTATAGTCTTCATTCAATAACACGGCCTTTATTTTTGATGTTATGACTTACAGTAACACACAAGAATGATGCTTTGCAATTTATAGCAAACTCATGAAAATATAATCAGACAGTTGATGCCACCCAATTTCTACATTCCTGTGTTCAGTGATCAACATCCAAGATCCATACAACACCAAAGAAACAGATGACTAGAAAATTGCATACACAGTAATTGGTCAAGCAAATGTCAAGAAGTATGATGAGGATGACCAGTAACTGATCAAGCAAGTGTTCCTAAGTATGATGAGAACAATGACCAATGGTACAAGGCTGAATATAATTGTATTACTTAGTCCTCAAGATGTTGACATTAGTTATGTAGACTCTCACAATGTTTCTCCAATCTGAGTGGAGAATAAGCAAATATAACAAGGATGTCATCATAAACTAAAAAATAGCTGATATCCTTCTCAGTATTCAAAAATTGAAGATATTTCAGATGATCCCGTCCAGTTGAAGACCTTAATCTTTTTTTTTTTTTCAAATTTTTAATGTGGAAATATCTTTTTAAAAGTACTATATTGCATGCAGGAAAAGAAGTAGTTTCATTACTGTAACAAAGACATGCATAAGAAGGGGAAAGCAAGTTACAGTTTTATCGTATTAAGTAAGAGTTCTCAAATGCTATATGTTTCACATCAGTTGGATCTTTATTCTCAACTAAATCATAATTTGTATATTTTAAAAAGGGAATGGTTTCTTTAGAAATGGATAATTTCCCTTTGAAAACAAGAAGTTCGAAATAAAGCCAGCTGTGCTACAGTTTACAAAGCTTATGTTGTAATATCACTTTGTTTAATCTGGCTAAAACCATTAGGGGCATACGTAAATATGTATAAATCTTACCACTCTAGATGTAAGTGATTGACTCCCCCAAAAAAATATACATTCTTACTTTGTCACAGGATATAGTTAGGTTTTTCTGGCTAACCTACTAAAGAAGATGGCCACCCAAATCCCAGCATTACCAGTCCAGAAGTGAGTGACTGACTTGTAATGATGATAGCTGGATAGGGTGTTTTTTCATAAAGTATATTTCAGTAACTTTAATACCTTAAGCTGGCCATACATTGATCATTTTTTTTTTCATCTGCCACAGGGATGATTGAAAAAACCCTGAATGGATTCCCCCATCCACACATACAAGTGGATGTGGGAAACTTCCCTACTGAGCTGCGACTACTCTGCTGTCAGAATACAATGATCAGTGCTGCAGCCAATTGGTTGTAGGCACTGATCGAATGAAAATTTACCAGCAGTCCTGTATGAGAGGAATCGATTGTTAGTTTGATACTTCTCAAATGGGAACAGCTATAGATGGATTGAAATTCGGCTTCCCCGCCCCCTGCTTGTGCACGCTCCCTGCCCTCCGGACACAGTGGAACACCAATCGTCGGATGGGACCTCTGTGCGAGGTTCCGATCATGTGATCACTGATTGGCCAATCAGTGATCACACGCAGATTAGTAAGCAAGATGTCACTTCTGACATCATTGCTTACTACGTGTGAAATCTGTGAATGATCACAAAGGTCACATGGTACAAGGCTATTCACAACAGCCTTGTACCATGTGACAAGCTGTGACCAATCACAGCTCACACACAGTAGTTCTCAATGGCTGCAAGAATGCAGCTAAGAGAAGGAGAAATGATTGCTTATGCAGCCTTTATGGGTGTAAAAGCAATCAGTGTAAAAAAAATAAAAATCTTCATCACCCCCCACAAGTAGTACAGTGTCACCATGGTGACACTGTACTGCTAGAGTGACAGTATGTAAAAATATAAAAAAAACATAAATAATAATATAAAAAAATAAAACAAATGTAAAAAAAAAATGTTTAAAAATGATAATTTTGGTTATAAGCTAATTTGGGTTTTTTTGTTTTTTTTTTTACTAAAAAGATAATGGAATACATTTTGGCCAAGATTTATGATGAAATACTATTTATTTGCAAAATTTTATAAGAAAAACACTTTTTTTTAAAATTTTTGGACTTTTTCATTTACATAGTAAAAAAAATAAAAAATCCCAGTGGTGAATAAATACCACCAAAATAAATCTTTATCTGTCTAAAAAAAATGCTAAAAAATTCATATGAGTACAGTGTTGCATGACCGTACAATTTCATTCAAAGTGTGATAGCACTGAAAGCTGAAAATTGGCCTGGACAGGAAAGGGGTAAAAGTGTCCGGACTGGAAATGGTTAAAGGCATAATTTTGGCTGATCAGGAGTCAATCATGCATCAAACAGTGCTTTTTGGCAACCAGTGAACATTTTTTTCATTTATGTACTTCTTCACTTTTCTTACTTGTCGATAACCTTCTTTTAGAAGACATAACATACTAGTCACTGAAATGTCTATACAAAATACTGTATATGTGTACAAGTGTAGAAGCAAGATTTTGAAAATAAGGGTACATATCTCAGACTAGGCCTCAACACTACTTGGTATTTATCATTGCATTTTGGGCCACATATATAGGGCCCAACGGAGGATCTGCTGGTGCTAGTCCAACCCTGGGTGTAATGTAAGCTATTTCAAGTGTACATGGTAATATCATTGTAATAGTGAATGGGGGAGTCCAGACAGGCAGTACCAACTACATTAAGCATACTGGTTCTTCTGCCCGCTGTAATTCTAAGAATACATAATGCCACTGCAAGCCCAGTATATATTTCAGATATGCCTAGATGATTATTGCTCAGGTTAGTATACTGTTATTAAAGTTGCTGAGGTCTATGTCAGAATGAGCAACCAGTATATTAAATAACATCAACACTGCCTGTCTGGACTCAAGAAGGAGGAGAGGCAAACAGAGAAGAAAGCCATGGTCTCTAAATGTAAGACAGCAACAGCAATATTGTACAGCAGGAGATCAAATAACTTTTCCAAATTAACAACAGATCAATTATTCAGGTGAAAATGCAATACAGATGTGAATGCTAGGTTGTTCATCATAAGGGCAAATAAAAACCTGTTCCAGCAACAAGGATGGGGAAGGGGGGGACTTAGACAGCCTCTTAAATGGACACATTTACATACTTTTCTGAGCTATTTGTAAATGAAGTGAAGTTAAGAAAATTAGAGTTTCTTACCCATAGTGACCATCTTTTTTATATGTAAAAATAAAACAAGGTTTATGACTGGACAATATCAGAAACAACTTTCCTAACTTCAATTCTCTATGAATTACACCTTTAAAGTGACATAAAAAATGTATAGTGAATAGATTAGAGAAATCAGTTTGGGAGGCTTACCTTGACTTTAACAGTATATGCACTTTATCTATTTAGTAAAAATACAAACTGGACCAAATTTGTCTCCCCAGGATGCTGCCTACTGCCTAAAAAAGCTAACAAGAGCAGTATAATACTGACCTGTGATGATATGGCTTTATCTCTGATAAGTTTGCTTGCCCCTGCTGCTCCAAGCTTTCAGCAAAGGTATAACTGAGATAGAGGAATTGAGGCAGCCAATCAGTATTTCTTCCTCACAATTTGCAAACCATTGGCCAATACTGAAATAGTGGGGACAAGCATGGCAGTCACCTTACTGGATGCAAAGTACATATTCTGCTGCTTTAATTAGCTTTTGTAGGAACTAGACAGCATCATAGGCTGGCAGACTTAAAGCGGAGTTCCACCCAAAAGGGGAAGTTCCGCTTTAAAGATTGGTCCCCTGCTCCCCATTAAGGATTGGCACCTTTGGGGAGCGGGGGGGGGGGGGGGGCGGGTACCCGAATTTGACAGGTACCTGCTCCCACTTCCGCTGAGATTGCCTAGGCGATTGGAAGCGGAAGTTGTCCTCCTACCCTCCCTCCCCAAAGTCTTGTAGCACATGTGACAGGTCCCAGAAGATGATGGGGCCATTCAGGAAGCGCAGTGCTACTCGCGCATGCGCAGTGGGTACCCGGCTGTGAAGCCACAAGCTGTCACAGCTGGGTGCCCACACTGAAGATGCTGGCGCCCGGAATACAGGATGGCCGGTGAAACGTTTTGTGGCGGAGGCAACGCGGGATCGTGGGACAGGTGAGTGGCTGTTTTTTAAAAGTCAGCAGCTACAGTTTTTGTAGCTGCTGACTTTTATTTTTTTACAGATTGAGTGGAAACTCCGCTTTAACCTCCCTGGCGGTTTTCCCGAGTGTAGCTCGGGGTAGAATTTCTATACCACAAGCGGTAACCCCGAGCTACACTCGGGCTTACCATGCGGCGCTGCTCTGGGGGTCCCTGCAGCACTTACCTTGTCCTTCGTTCCCACGATGTGTCCCCTGCAGCGTCCCCGGCCATCTCCTCCGGCCGATGCCGGCATCCGGCTTCTGTGTTCCGGTCCCCGTGACGTCGGGACGTACGGGCGCCGCCGGCGGTGGGAAATTTAAAAAATTTAAAAAATGTCATTTTTTTTTTTTTTTTCAATTTTAAATAGTAAAACATTGCTGTTTCATCCCATTTCACATACATTGTGTCCCTAGTGCTTTGCCCTGTGCCCTGCCTGCATTTTGTCTGTTCTTTCTGCCTGGAAACTTAGAAAAGTCCATGGCGTCCAAAAAGCGTCCCTTTACGTCAAAAGCGGTTTTAGACCAGCTAGAGAACAGCGATAGTAAATCAGAACCACTTGCAGAATTGAGTGATAATGATTTGTGGGGAAATTTTCCTAAAAATTACAGCCTACAATAAAAAACTATTTCCATGCGAAAAAATGGTACCGCTTTCAGCACAAAAAATCAGAAGGAATCATACCGCCAAGGAGGTTAAAGTATTACTAAACCCACAACTGTAAAATCAGACTATATATGCAGTAAGACATGCTTGTTATACTCACTGTGGAACCTAAGGGGTTGCTCCTCCACATTGTGTAAAAAGGCTCTTTGATCCTGTCTTCTCTGATCCTACCCTTCTTCTACTGTCCCCAGTCCATCTGCTGATAGTACAGAGTCCTAAGGGTCACTCTGCACATGTTCTGTTTGATGTGTATTGCTATAGAGTTTTTTTTTTTCTTTGGGATCAGCACCGGGTCAATCAGCATTGTCCAGACAGAGGATCAGGGGTTATGCAACCTCATAAGACAGTCGGGGAAGAATGAAAACTTCTTCTACAAGCTTTATCCAGTGCTCAGCCAGACACAAATTTACAAAACTGCCATATACTGCTCATGAGAAAAGGTATTTAGCAGTTTATATTTACTAAAATAATTGCATTTCCCTGTTCTGTAGACTGTGGGAGATTGGATATAGTGAATGCAGGGTCCTGGGTTTAGTAACACAGTTAGGTTTGTTTTAAGTCATTATTTTACATTGCCCAAGAGACAACAGTTTTATATAAAACTGACTTTCTCAGCCTATAAAACATGAGCCACTAGGAGTAGCTCAAGTTCTGGCAGGTAACTTAAATGATCAACAGTGGATTAAACTTTTAGAGTCCTGTTAGATCTGGGGTGGCATATATGCAATCGGGATTATTTGTGGTTATTTTCCACTGCACCTCTGACTGTACATGTTGTCATTTCTGGTGTCTCTGTTTTATGACCTCTGTACTGTTACCATGAAAAAAAAAACTTTTAGAGTGGCCATAATGGGCCCAAGAGTAGTAAGTGATGCTAACTATTTTGAAAATGTTGTGCAATAATGCAGCCATTTCCAATTTCCAATTGTACAACTTCAAGAACATGCTCCTACTGGAAATACTCAGTATAGCAATGGGATATTTTCCAACATGAAGGTAATTCCTTCTGTAAAAGGACTCAATCCATTGATCTATATCTTGAGGGTTCAACAACTCTCAGTCTCGCTGCCCACTGTTCTTGAGATATCTACCCATCTACTTCCAATCATTAGGATAATGCTTTGTACTAAGAGTGTTTATATAAAATGAGCAAGTAGCAAACACTTATAAATAAAGGATATTGACAATACGTACATGCTCACACTTTGAGTGCAACTCGAGATGAACAGTCATGCACCAAGTATTTATTAAACTAATAAACTAATATGGGTTTTGGTTTGAACATGTCAAAATTTGAAAGCTTCATCTTACAGCAATAACAGTGTAGTGCCACTCAACAATAAGCAATACAGTTTTTCATATATTACTGGCATTTTCCCTTAACTCAGGCCTTCGGGATTTGTAAAGGGCAAATTCATTTGCCCTTGTCAATTGTAGACACAAAATTCCTCAATAAAACGCCCACCATTATCCAGCAGGGACAAAGCTTTAATAGCTCCCTAATTGCAAGCATGCAGGGCAATCAGAGATCTAGAGCAGCAGCCCTCCTATTGGAAACACATTACTTGCCTGCACTGAATGCTGTGCACATGGCATTCCAAACATTTCAATGTATGGTCAAACACAACAACATGTAATGCTCAGGGAGTAGGTGTGATTTTTTGCTTGATGCTATTTATAGATTATGATGTGGCTACTAAATTAAAAGTTGGCAGTTCATTTCTTTAAAACTTCATTTATAATCTTTAGTAAAGACTGACTTTCCAGACAGATTCTACATTAAAAGATCTGTTTGCTCATAAAATAAATTATTTCAAAGCTTGAGGTGTTCATAGATAATACTGTGATCACCATAATATTCCAATATTACTGAAAGACAACTTCAACTATGCAGCCTGTAAAGACACCCCCCCGATCCAGACAACCTAAACCACTTCCAGTCCAGGCCAATTTTCAGCTTTTAGTGCTATCACACTTTGAATGACAATTGAGCGGTCATGCAACACTGTACCCATATGAATTTTTTAGCATTTTTTTTAGACAGATACAACTTTATTTTGGTGGTATTTATTCACCACTGGGATTTTTATTTGTTTGCTATATAAATGAAAAAGACCAAAAATGTTGAAAAAAAGTGTTTTTCTTAAATAATCTTTCTTCATAAATCTTGGTCAAAATTTATTCATCTGTCTTTTTAGTAAAAAAAAAATTAGTTTACAACCAAAAATTATAATTTTTCAGAATTTTTTTTAACATTTTTATTTTTTTTAATATTATTATTTATGTTTTGTTTTTTTTTTTTTTTTGTACAGGTGACACTGGACTACTTGTGGGGGGTGATGACGTTTTTTTTTTTCTTTTTTTACGTTGATTGCTTTTACACCCATAAACTCTGTAAAAGCAAACTTTGCTACTCTCTGGCTGCATTCTTGCAGCCATTGAGAAATACTGTGAGAGCTGTGATTGGTCACAGCTTGTCACATGGTACAGGGCTGTTGTGAATAGCCTTGTACCATGTGACCTATGTGATCATTCACAGATTTCACTAGTGATAAGCAATGATGTCAGAAGTGACATCTTGCTTACTACTATTCATGTGATCACTGATTGGCCAATCAGTGATCACATGATCGGGACCTCACACAGAGGTCCCGTACAGCGATCGGTGTTCGAACACAGTGGGCACCGGATCGTGGTGCAGTGAGCTCCCAGGGAACGTGCACAGGCAGTGAATGCAGGGGATTTTTATAAACAACCACCTGCTTCAGCAGCGCTCCCGTCCGACCGTTTATGTACATGGGTCGGACAGGAAGTGATTAAGTAAACATGTGCTTTGCCTGTAAAGGTCTATAATCCTTCCATCCCATCCTTCTAAATGAGTGACTTATAGCTTACACTGGATGACTTCACCTGTTCCTGACAGCTGACCAGAGTGCTGGGACTGATGGCCTCCTTGTACTGCTTCTTGCTACCCCAGTATGAACCCTGCTGTACAGGGACTTCAGCAGGCTGGAAACAGGTTAAATCCTGGAACATATGCAGCTTGCATTAAAAAAATACATTTAACCACTTGCCCTCCTGAGGATTTATCACCCCCTTCCTGACCAGGACATTTTTTGCGTTGTGGCGCCTTGTTACTTTAACTGACAATTGCATGGTCATACAAAGCTGTACCCAAATGAAATTTACATCCTTTTTTCCCCACAAATTGAGCTTTTTTTCTGTGGTATTAGATAACCTGTGTGTTTCTAATTTTTTGCGCTAAAAAAAAAAAAAAACAACAATTTTGAGAAAAAAAACCTATATTTTTAACTTTTTGCTATTAAACGTGTCCAGTAAAAAAAAAATTTAAAAATCTTAATTTCGTCATAAATTTAGGCCAAAATGTATTCTGCTACATGTCTTTGCTAAACAAAAATCCCAATATGTGTAAATTAATTGGTTTACATGAAAGTTATAGCGTTTACAAATGGCGGTATATATATTGGGATTTGTTTTTTATTATTACTAATAATGGCTGCGACCAGCGAATTATAGCAGGACTGCGATGGGCATTCTGACAGTGTGGGGAACTGACTTGGTGTCACTGACATCCCCAGTGAAACCAATACAGTGATCAGTGCTAAAAAAAAAGCACTGACACGGTACTATTGGCACTGGGCAGGAAGGGGTTAACATGAGGGGCGATCAAAGGGTTAACTGTGTGCTGTTTTACTGTGGGCTGTGTCACTGCTTCACTGTAAGCACACTGCTTTGGATGGCTGTACTGTGCACAGCCATCCAAAGCAGTGTGCACGAGCTGACAGGGAGGAGAACTGTGTTGTTTACAAGCAGCCCTCCTCACCATCGGAGATGCTCGTGAATCACCGAGTGCCAGCGAGTAATCACCTGCTGGGACCCGGAGATTGTCAGCTGCGGCCGTGAAATGCAAAATCACGTATTACTGCTATAGGGGAGGTCGTTAAGTGGTTAAGGATGAATTATTAAATACAGAGCTGCACTCATACGTCGACACCCTGAATGTAATAGTAATACATTTTAATGGCTTTATGAACCTTATCATGTAAATTGTTGCAGATAGCCATGTATCACAGTATACGTTCATGTACTGGCCTGGTTCAAATTTTAATGTCTTTTGCATGTATGCTAGGTGGAGCTGCACCATGAACCTGCATTGGTACATCAAGCTTCACGCAGCTACAGATAGAAATCGGCACATTAGCATTTGCAGCCACACTGAACCTGAGTCTAGTTGATAAGCTGGATTTGTTTTACTTTCTCTCTGCCCAAAAGATGCTCAGGACAGAGCAGATAAGATTTAATCACAGATTGCTCTGTGGCCGATACAGACAGTCTATAGGGGTATTATAAAGCTGTTTGTACTAGAAGTAAAATTAGCCAATTTGTAATCCTGTGCAGATAATAAGAGTAAGACAGGCTTAGTTCTAGATAGGGTGCTAGATGGGTGTTATTAAATCTCCAGGGGGTGAACTGTGAAGGAATCATCTATGATATTAAGGAAACAAAACACTATTTTTTGATGTTCAACAGAAGCTTAAGACAAATACGATGACCTTCTTGATTTATGCCAATCAATGCTTATAAAAATGATGAAATACTGTATATCAGAGCTGAAAAAATGAAATAGTAAGATATCTTGTAATATATTTTTTATCTTAGTTATAGAAAAGTAAAAAGAGTCATTGTGCTAGCTATGTAAGTCACACAGAAGAATGATTGTCTGTACTTATATGTACAGTAGCTATTCAGCGGATGAATTGAAAAGACTACGTTATTACCCTGGTATACAATTGTAGGCGATGAAGTGCAAGTACCAGTGCAGACCCAGAGCAAGCTGAAAGAATGCTATATCCCATTTGACCTGGGAACACATTGGAAGGAGTTGAAGGTACTATAAGCACTAGATAAAGTAATTTTTGTGAAATTATAGCAGCCAGATGAAAAATATCAAGTCCAAGGCTCCTTCATCAGGTGGTTAAATGGGGGTATTGGCAAACAGTTATGACCCTACTAAGAAAAAAGAATGCACTAATGGAAGAAGCTCCAGGATAAAAGAGTCCAAAACCATATAAATAATTCAAAAAACAACCAACGCATTTCGGGGCTCAGAAAAAAATCTCCCTTCATCAAGGCTTCAGTTAAAATAAGAATCTTGAATGGTCTGAAAATAAAGCTTTCAGCCTGATGCTGATATTTTCTCTATGTT